TCATCTGGCTTCACGTCCGTTCACATGCTTTCATCTCCTCTTCGCATCACCTAGTCCTCCATGTCACCCTCGCATTGACGACCAACTCGCCGCTTCCCATTCGGGTTCCACTCGACCGATGGCCTGGCGTGTGATGTCACTTGATGGTTTTTTCAGAGTATGGCCAATCCACCTCCATTTCTTCCTGCATATTTGTTGCACAATTGGTTTCTGTCTGATTCTGTCTCAGAGGTCTCTGTTGCTGATCTTTTTTGGCCAGAAGGACACTGAAAACTTCGTAAATAAACCACTGCTCTCACTGAGGACAATCACACCAAAGAAGGAAAGAAAGAAGGGCAGTTTTGTTGTATCAGAGACTCTTTCACCTAAAGGTCGTATTAATGAGAGACGCGGTTGACTGGATTACCATAAACGTTACACTGTAATGATCAGGTTCAAGTACTGTAAAATTAAAATTCGCGTAGTTGGTTACTTGTCCAAATTCGAGTCATTTGTCATAAAATAAAGCCGATATGCTGCACCCTACTGGTCACGACTTCTCAAATGTTTATTTACCTGATAACATTATTATTATTAGTACATTGTTGTTCTAGTGAAACACACTCGATTTTCTTCCATTCCATTCAGCTGGCTCTTCGACTAATCATAAAACGTCTTGACGTCCTCAGAGTGGTCGTCTATGTTCAAACCAACTTTACTTCTTTTTCCAGATGTATTGAACGGCAGGCTGTTGACTGCTTTTCTGTCGGAATTCCTCATTGGCCGCTAGGTCTTCAGTATAGGGCGAAGACAAGTGCTAATGAAAGTCTGGACTAGGGTGTTGTTGGCAGTCTTCCTGATGCGTGCACCAAGTCTGCAGACCATAAAGAAGCAGTGAATGATGGTAGAAATTCGGGTATTTTTCGTTTTCCTGAGTGCCTTAGGATTTCACCATACAATAATTCAGTAGAACTCATATTCGTTGCTAACTGTGATGACTTATCTTTGAAGTCAGTGTTGTTCATAGTCGTTTATAACACATATATTCTGCATCGCTGTCAGGCAGTCAAAGTTCGCTTGTCAAACTGTTTGTCCGCTTTCTTTTCAAGTGAGGGTGACACTGATGTCATCACGGTTGGTTACTTTGTGATTAGAGATTAGAGTAGATTTCGTTAGCATCAGTTACAATCTCCAAGGTCTTGTCACCGTTCATATCAGTTAAAAACTGTGATATTCCCTAGTGCACCGAAAATTTGTTTTCCGAAATATGTGTCATAAGATTAAGAGAATATTACAAGTCAATACATTTTGTGATAAGAATGGGTCACCACAACATTCGAAAGATGAGAAACAACTTATTGGAAACTTGGTTGTTAATCTGAATTGCAAATGTACCGGGTGATCTATTCTCTAAACTGGATTCTCTGTTTTCTTTAGAGATTATAACTCCTATGTAGTTGCTTTTGACCCACCGATGTGGCACATTACGAAAAGCATTTCCAAAACTCTGCTCCAAACTTTAACTATCATCTGGCTTTACACTATAATGAAGGTCAGACGACCCTCTAGGAAGGATAAGCAACAAAGAAGCATGGAAACGAACCAACCAAGGTAAGGTGCAAACGGAGACAGAGATGTATCGGACATACGCTGCTGAGACCGTTGGCAGACATCGCTCGATATGCCCTTGAGTGTAACCCAAACAGCAGACAGCAAGTTAGGCGTCAGTCGAAGGGTGACATGTAGAAGGACATGAGAGCTTATGGGCGAAAATTAACTGCAGAGAACAGGGGGAAATGAAGATGTACTGCTCAAAGCCTATGTTCCACTCAGGAATCAAGCCAGTGTAGAAATCGCCTGGCAACAGAAAGTGTTTGCAGCTTTGGTGATGAAGACCAGTTTCAATGAGATTACATGTTTCAGAGCGCTTACTTCCTCATCCATGATATTCGGAATGCTAATGTTAAGGATTCTGTTAATCATTGAGCTGGTAAGGCTCAGGTTTTCATGTACAGCTACCAGAATATGAAAGTTAGAGGTAGGATAGTTGAGTTTACAGTATATCTGAACTACCTAACTTCATTTAACTTCTACAGGGTAAAAATATTTCAGGAAACAGAGGTACATTAGCCATACAATCTACAAATATCATTTCATCTATAGTGATATTTTCTTAAGAGATAGATAGGAACTGGAAATTAACACTTTTAGTGCCTAGAAGCAATTCAGGTGTGTTTCTATTTCATACGCCTAAGGAAATTTACGGTCAAAATATTGACGAATTTTGAAGAAAAGAAAAACACGGAATTTTCAAGCCATCTAATCGACTGACAGTTTCTCAGAAAACCTTTTTTTGAAAGTAATTCATGCAATCGATAATACTTGCTTCGTTTAACTGACGAATTCTCATCATTTTCATGATGTTGCATTTCACAGAAAGAAAAATATCTCCTAATAAATGCACGTACACATAGACATTTTTATTCTCATTCGGTTATATTTGAATTATTTTTAAAAGAACGTTCAGTGTGTTACAGGATTACATCATGAGCTGATAGTGGTTGTAGAACCATTGGAAAACCTGCAGGGAGTACTTGACAGCTGTTTCGCCAGTCCAGTTTGGGACTCCTCATCAGTACGCACCCACCATAGGTGTTTGAACGCAGGACCTTCTGATTACAAGGCCAGTGAGGTCATAGACCATTAAGCCACTGGGACCCGATCCCGTTGAATATATCATACTTACATGGTTGGTGGCAGTTGATTAGCATTCATATTATTCCGGATTATGCACATTAGATCATAGGATATAATAAAAAGACGGTTGCAGCGAAGAAAATTTTCTTTTCGACGAAGTCATCAACTAAACAGCTGTACATTCGTGTATTATTTATTTATTATTTTGATTTACAGCTTGATTCCACACCGTATTTTCAGTACAAGTATGGAATTTTCAGCATGGATATCGGTAGCCCAAATTCAGGCCGACCATAGATATCGGGTGTGCACCGGCAGGGGTTCGAATCCCGGACCATGTGCATGGTTGGCGAGAGTCCTAACCACTGTGCCACCGACCATTTATAATAAATGGGTAGGAAAGTCCCAGAATAATCTCCGGTCAAGGGTCAAATTAATAAAATTACAATACGAATTAAAACGTCATAATAAACAGGGGGACGGATTTAACTGAAACAAAATAGCATCATAACTGTGACAATGGTTGACTTATTGTGGAATCAGGGTTGAGAAATGTAGGAACAACAGAATAGAAATGATGGTTAGATAAAAAAATCTAGTGGGATCATAACTAATGTGACGAATAATTGTTTATGCAACCAGGGATCAAATATTTAGAAATAATAAAAAGACAAAATAGACAGGAAGTTCGGATATGAAAATATGGTAGTGAAAATAGGGATTAAGAAAAGCTTAAAAATAACATGAATAAACAGGAAGTTTGGATAATAAAGGTAGTGGGATAGTCACTATTAAAAGGATTACCTGTTTTCAAATCACGGAATATACACATTTGATCATAGGGAATAAAAAGACGGTTGCAGCGAGATGAAGGTCGTCGATAGTTGATGATAACGGGTTGTTTTCGAGGCTGGCCTGTTTATGATGGCCACGGTGGGGACAAGGGTTGAATGTATTTCTTTTGGATACACAGCGGGTGCTTGAGTTTTTGGATGGCTAGTGCCTCGGTTACGTCTTTGCCATTTGACCAAATTGACAATGCGAAAATGACCACATGCTGAGGAATGAAGATTAACTCTGTAATATATAAGCTGAGATTTTGTAAATTGTGGTTTATCAGTACTTTGATAAAGACTATTAGCAGCATTAAATAGCGAAACATCAATAAAAACAATATCATTTTGTTTTTCATTCATTGGCAAATACAAGAAACCTTTATTATAATAAATCATCCTGTAGAAGTTAAATGGAGTTAGATAGTTCAAAGCTCAAAGCTCAATCCTCTCACCATAAACTTCTATATTAACGTAGTTCTAGATGATAATCGTCGCCCGAACAGTTCATTGAATAACAGAATCTATAACATTAGCATTCTGAACACCATAGAAGAGGAGGTGAGAGCTCTGATAGCTGCAGGCCGGCATTGAAAATGGCTACTGTGGACGCTTGATTACAAAATGCATTGAAGCTACAACACTTTCAGTCGTGATATAATTTCTGCATTGGCTTGATTCCCGAGAGGGATACTTGTCATCTATATAAATATATGTAATATCAAGCTGTTTCCTATTAATATTCTCGTTTGTCGGAGGTATAAAATATATATCTTCTGAGCACTGTCCGTTGAAGGCATAGTATTTAGGTGATCACTATGCACCGCCATCAGCTCACAGTATTGTTGGATGAAGAACAGCGTCGTCTCTTTTTCATCAGCTTACCTCTCAACATCCGTTTTGTTTTATTCTTTCGCTTTCTAACTGGTACAAAGATCTACACTGTAAAAGCTCAGTAGCGATGGTGTTTTTTAGCCTCAGGTTGAGTTGCTGGTCTGACACTCAACCTTCCCTCGTTATCAGGTTTAATACTGGCTACTCACACAGTGTTATACAGTAATATTAACTGATGAGTGTGAGTAGTGACTTGATATGATTATGAGCAATATATTGTGCTCGAAACGTCATCAGTTAATATCACTGTACAACACTGTGTGATTTATCAAAATAAAATCTTATCCATAATTGAGTTATACTCTACCACAGTGCCCAAGGTTTATACTCATATCAATTACTACCGGCTGAGCGAAGTGCCGATCGACAACCGAACTCCGCTTGGCAGGTCTCCTACCGCTGAGCCACTAAAGGCTTCTCCCATCACAAATGGACAAAATCTAAGTGATTATTACCTGTTCGGTTATGCATTTAGCCTATTGTGTGTAGCCTTTTATTAGCTTTACGTCACTAAATCTTTAATTAGTTAACTCATTAATAAATATTTTCTAATTCGTTTTTCGTTTTTTTTTAAAAACTTTTTTTGTTTCCTCCTAGACTCTTTCAATCTGGATGCAAAAATAAAAACATGCAATGAAGTAAGCAGTCGTTGTGTGTCTCCTCATTTTTCATTGTATTCTTTTTTTTCAAAAATTATTAACGAATAGTGTGCGGTTTCTTTTCAGTAGTCGCCTGCATGACTTACTTTCATTGGGATTGGTTTTTTGCATGTAATATGATAATAATCTAAATGAATGAGAACACGCAATCACTTAAATAAAGGCAATAATAAAACCAGACTGAGACATTCATATATATAAACGACTCTTTTTTCATGAATTATACAGAATTATATATGTTTGATGAACAAAAAAACTAAATTTGATTCTATGTTAATTAAGAGGAAGAAAGCAAAACGATTCGACAGTTGTCTAGTCAAGACAGACATTTTGAATCATGGAGCTTGTTTAATGATAGGGAAACACGACAGACAGAGAGATTCTAATAAGCAGAATTACGCACCTCGCCTGGTTACGCTACGGTTCGCTGCAACTATTTACCATTACAGAGTGTTATAAATGAACTTGTAAACCTAAAATTTATTTACTTGGTTATTACTACAAAAGGCTATTCATCGCGTTATTTGTGTCAGTGGCACAGCGATAGAATGCTCGGCAGCCACGCAGGTAGTCCCAGAATCGATCCCCGACCTATGCACTCCTTTGCCTCACTGTTATTATTGTTCTCTTGGGTTCCTGATGGAACATAGGGCTTCAACTGCACGTCTCCACTTGCTTCTGTCTTCTGCTGTACTTTTCACCTGCATCCATGTTAGTCAACACTGTTTCAACTCTTCTTCACACGATTTCGTCCATGTCACCCTTGGACGTCCCACTCACTGCTTCCCTTTCAGGTTCCACTCGACGGCCTGATGCGCGATGTCACCCAGCGGCCTCCTCAGCGAGTGTCCAATCCATTTCTGCTTTCTCCTGCATATTTGTTGAGCGATTGGTTCTTGTTTTGTCTGTTCCTAAAGCTTCTTGTTTGTGATTACTTCCGGCCATCTGATCTTCAGTATAGAGCGAAGACAGTTGTTGATAAAGGTCTCCAACAGGCTGTTGGAAATATTTTTTGTGACCCACCAAGTTTCTGATCCGTAAAGAAGAAGTGACTTGACATTTGGATTGAAAAATCTGAATTTTGTTGTTGATGCTGAGGAGTGACGAAGATTTCCAGATTGGTTTCAGGTTGATGAATGTGCTACTCCCCTTCCCGATTCTCGATTTGACATCCTCGTCCGTTCCATGTTCCTGTAGTTGAGACAATGCTCCCTACCTAGATAAGTGAATGAAGTAACCTCTTTCAAATCCCTCCAGTTGATGGTGATTGGCGCTGGGTGTTGCTGTTGTTGTTTTTGGTTGTTGGTTGGTTATTTTCATAACCTCCGTCTTGTCTATGTTCACCTGAAGTCGTGTCTTCTCTGGCTGCTTCTTCGACCAGTTTGTTGGTTTTTGCTTGTAAGTCTTCGATTTTGTGTGACATCAAACATAAATCATCCACACGCAACATCCAGGTCTTCTAGATTCTTCACGTCGGTCCAGGATATCCCTGTCTCCTCGTTTCCTACTGTCTTACGCATAATCCAGTCCACCACAATTAGGAATATCATTGGGTATAGTAAGCACCCTTGTCTGACTCCTGTGTTTACTCCGAACGCTTCGCTGAGTTTTCCGTTGCGGATCACTTGACATGTGCCGTTGTCGTACAGCTGTTGAATAAGGTTGATGAATATTTGGGGTACGCCGTAGTACTCAAGTAGTTTCCAAATTACTTCGCGGTCAACGCTGTCGAAGGCCTTCTCAAAGTCTATGAAGTTGAGGTAGAGATTTGATTACCATTCCATGCTTTGTTCGATGATAATGCGTAGAGTTGCAATTTGGTCAGAACATGATTTGTCTTTCCTGAATCCAGCTTGTTCTGGTTGGAGTTCTGTATCCAGCGCATCCTTGATTCTCTCCAGGATGATGCGACTCAGGATTTTACTTGGCGTCGACAGGAGAATGATTCCTCGCCAGTTCTTGCAGAGTCCTAAGTCACTAAGCTAGTAATAATACTGATAAAGAGGGAAGTCTGGGCATGAGGCTAGCGACGCCATCCTGTAAAATGAAAAAACATCACTGCTTACGAAACTTCAAGCCATTAGCATGAAGCCATACGTTCCGCTGGGAAAGTAAAGGAATAAAATAATGACAATAATTATTTTCTCCAGTATTTAATCTAGCCTTTACTGAACAGCTTTTCACTAAATTCCTTATATTTATCTTTTAAACTTGATGATTTAAAACATAATTGTGTATGGCAGGTTTTGTCTATTCAATTAGAGCGGTTGATGGTGAAGAGATTGGGTCTTTCTATAAGAGAGAAGATTTTGACGCTCAGTTGGATAGTTTTAGGATGGTTGTACTCTCAGAGCTTAATGATTTAACTGACACCGTTTTCATCAAGTTCCTCGGGGAAAACTTTCAGAGCCTACTTCAACAACAAATGAACTGCTGTGTAAACGACATGCTCCATATATATTCCATTCCATTTTATAGAATCAAATGACTGAATTAAAGCGGATTATTGCTTATATCTAATTCTACATATAGTTGTTTTGAGTTAGATCAACAAACGCTTCGCTTTGTAACCAAAAAATGAGGAAAACAATAGTCGTTAAGGTCTTTCAATCTCTGTTTTAATCACCTTGAAATAAGCGTGAAGATATAAAGGGTCATTTTACCGTTTTAATTTCGTTAGACTGAAGCTAAAACGCTCTGATGAAATTAATAAATTATGAATTACAACTTCATCGCAGTACAATATCACTCAGTGACATAAAATTATATACTGATGATATTTTGAGAGCTATTCATCGCTCGTAATCACTGGATCAACGTGCTCACATAATTTTATAACTTCGTTTATATAACTCCATTATTTCTTATCCTTTGATGATATTGGTTGTTATATTTTCCACATATTTAGTATTGGTGTTGATTGTTTCTTACAGCACATATTCTGGTGTCTAGATTCGATGAATAAAGCTTCGGTAATCATCCTCTCCCTCCAACTACTTCTAGAACTTTTTCGAAATGTAACACTGTCCCACATTATTGTGTGATTGTTTGGCAATGTACGCACCGCCATTAGCTGAAATTATCTCTAGGTTGTTCATCTCTGTGGGGTCAATCATTCTTATTATTATATTATTATTGTATCCTTTAATTCCTAGAGGAAAATACAGCTTCAGTGGTGCGTCTCCATTGCGATCGGTTCTCTGCTAGAGTCTCCACCTGGCTCCAAGTCTGCCCACACACTTTCATCTCCTCTCCACATGACCTCCTCCAAGTCACCCTTGCACTGACGACCAACTTGCCGCTTCCCTTTCGGGTTCCACTCGAGCAATGGCTTGTCTAGTGATGTCACTTGATGGTTTCCTGAGAGTATGGCCAGCCAATCCATCTCCAATTCTTCCTGCAGATTTGTTTCACAATCGGTTATTGGTTGGTTCGCTCCCAGAGATCCCTGTTGCTGATCTTTTCTGGCCGGCCATCTGATCTTGAGTATTGAGCGAAGACAACTGTTAATGAAGGATTGTAGTTTGTTAGAGATGCTCTTTATGACGCTCAGTGCAAGTCTCTGATCCGTATAGTAGCACTGACTGACTTCACATTGGAGTTGAAAATCCGGATCTTATTTTTGATGCTGAGTGTTGTTGACCTCCACACAGACTTGACGTGAGTAGTGAAAGCTTGTCTTGCTTTTCCGATTCTTGCTTTGATATCCTCATCAGTTCCACCTGTAGTTGAAATGATGCTTCCCAGGTAGGTAAAAGAGGTTGTTCCTTTCAGGGGTTTCTTTCTGTGGAGTCAGTCATTCTGAAATTAGCTAAATTTTACGTTCGCCTTACTCACAGTCATTTTGTAGATTAGGTTATTTTGTATAATTAGGCTGATAAGGTTCTTTAGCTTGCTGAAGTTGTCCCTAATTTAGTTTTTAGGTTTGAATGCTACGCTAATTCCCGGCTCTATTGAAAATCCTATTTAGGGCTTCATATATGGCCTACTTATATGGTAAAATTGTGAAAGCTTTGAATTCTTACATATTTCTGTTACCGTTACTACTTTCACTAGTATTTTTCTTTTTCTTGTCATCCTTCCTAGTGAATTTTATGGGATAATTATTTAATATGAATGCTTATTGTGTCTGTTTCATTTCAACATTCAGAGTTTTACTAAGCCTGTCTCTATAGATACTGGACGAGATGAATAAATATGCCACTTAGAGTATGTTGGTTTTTTTTGTAAGCACTAGTGCGTCATTTACCTTCTTTTGTTCGTTTTTTTCCAAATTTTACAATACAACGTAGATAATTCTCCTTGTTCATTTTGTGTCTAAAATGAAAATGTTATACCCTCTACTACTGAACTTATATGTGTGAAGAGAATGGTTATCCACAAAATTTCATCAAAAAATGTTTAAAGTCGAATCAAAACACCAAAAAGAAACCATCATCAAAGACCACAAGAAAATTCATTCTCCCATACATGAGGAATATTTCTGAAATAACAGCTAGAATACTGAAACCATTTGATATAGATATAGCACACAAGTCAGTCAAATCGCTTAACTCGATATTATGCAAACCAAAAGATCCAACAGAGAAAGGGGATAAAATTAACACCATTCACAAAATAAAATGTATGAATTGCAACAAGCATGACATCGGCCAAACTGGGCGTCCCCTTCGAATCAGAATCCAAGAACACAAATCAACTGTGAAAAGACACGACATATATTCTTTGGTATTAATGCATATAGACAATTATGGTCATCAATTTGAGGATTGGGATAATTTCAAAATCTTAAAGAGAGGAAACACCAAAATTGCTGTCAGGGAATTCCTAAAAGCCTGGTACTCAAACGAAAATTCAATTAACAAACACGTTAATATAGACGAAATATACCAACTAATAAAAAGTAAATCAGGTGACCAGAAAGTTTAAAATCCAAGTCAGTAGAAAATGGTCAATACATATGTAAAGATAGTTACTAGGAGATGCAATTATATCACTCGTGAAGAAATTTTAATCATTTCACTTTGTGCTAAATATGGCGCCGAAGGGGATGTTGTCCAGAAGGACGACGAAAGCTTCGCAGCTAAACCTACCAGCTCAGAGAACACCGTTAAATGCAGATACATTGTGTATTTAACACTAAGTTAGTGTCATCCATTTATCTCCAACATATTTTTAGAGTAGGGTTAAATGTATTAGGAGCCATATTTTTCCAACTATCCACTAAGATATCTGCTACAGTTACGAATGTTGGTGATCGGAATGCTACCCTGCCTGTTTGTTCACATATACAGATATGAGTACTAGAGATATGGAAGATATTACTACTAATAAAACCAAAGGATCCGGAGACAGTGGAGTTACATATACACAAAGTAAGAAAGTTATCTGACTGACTGCCTTGACATGATGCTCGATGCACACAGTGATTAGTAAATAGTATTGTATCACTGGATTTTAGAAACTAATGTTGAAAGTTTGCCGATTTCGGCTTATCTATGATTCGAAGCAGCCATAACTGCAGTCTAGAGATTCTTATCCTAAATTAGTGTCAATCAATCATCAGTTCAACTTAAGACTGATTACGAATTATTGAGAAATTGAAAGGTGAAATTAACGCTTACTTACAACTCTCAGTAATAACTGAGAAGATATGTAACTCAGATAAATTTATTTCGGGCTGTTGTTTACTGCGATTTGGCTAGTTGATGTGTAGAAGTTTCATTGCGCTTTTTGACAAACGTTTCAGCTTTAACTTCGAAATGAAGTGAGCTTGCACTTTTCTTTGTAGATATTATTGCTATCTTTTCGGATGACCTTCTTATTGATGTATAGTCTCCTAAGATTTCCTTATAACTGCATTGATACTGATACTCACTTTGAACTTATTTTTGATTTTCAGCGGGTGCTATCAATTATTCTTCATCGAATAGTAAATTTTAGCCATGGATGTAACATTCTCTTTGACAGAAGTTCATGCAGTATATTTTACAGATGTATTGTACTGTATGAAATATTATTTTTTGGTTACAAGATTTCATCATGAGCTGAAATTAATCAGAGAACCATTGGAAAACCTGGACATATGTTTCGTCAGTCTTGTTTGGGACTCTTCATCAGTACGCGTCCACCATAGAAGTCCAAACACAGGACCTTCTGGTTACAAGGCCAGTAAGCTCGTAGACCATTAAGCCGCTGGGAATCGATACGGTGACCCATGAACTTCAACTTCTGTTGCACTATGTCATGAAACTGCAGAAGCTGGAATTCATATGCCATTGGATCCGGTACCAGTGGCTTAATGGTCTATGACCTCGCTTGCCTTTTAACCAGAAGGTCCTGGGTTTGAACCCTGTCAGTGAGTGCGTACTGATGAAGAGTCCCAAACCAGGCTGACGAAACAACTGTCCAGTACTCCCTGGTGGGTTTTTCAATGGTTCCAACTGATATCAGCTCATGATGAAATCCTGTAACCAATCAATCTAATCCCTACAAACCAATACTTGAAAACTGTTCTCCTGAGCCCTCTTCAACTGACTGTATGGCTTTCCATAAGATATTATCGCTTCCTTGCACAATCCAAGATATGTCACCCTCCAACTCACGCCTAACTCGTAGTTTCTCATTCAGGAGTATAGAACGTGATTTTATTCAGTGATCCTCTCAGTGTATGTCCAGTTCATCTCCATTACCTCAGGAATATTTGCTGTACTCTAGGTTCTTGGTTGGTTTATTGTCAGAGTTCCTTGTTGCTTTGGTCATGTGATCTTCTGGAAGGAGTAAAGGCATCTGTTGATTGTTTGAAGTAATAACTTCCTTATTCCCCTTTGCTTTTTAACGTCAGGTAAGATATAACAGAAGTTCCATTAAATGACGTCCGAATAACGTCAATATGTTTTGTTCTATTTATCTTATATATTTCAAACTAATTTTGAAGCGCTGCTGAATGCAGACTAGGAAGCGAGTATTTCACATGATTATCATCACTGACGTGAATATGAAACGCCTTCATGAAGTTTAACTGTCCTTCGAGGACGTTTCATTCTCCACACATTAGAACACAGGAAGGGCATGAGCGTGTACTGAAGACTTTTATTTTCAAACCAATTCACATTAATAATCCCTATTCATTTGTTAGATAAGTATGCACATTTAAAGCAGAATAAAGGCTTTATCTAAGGGTACCTTACCTTACCACTGCCACTGTACATTCCCTCAGTTTCGAATGGTGTATAAAGCCTGAATGACATACCTCTGCAGCCACTTTTACTCTTTCCTCACACAATCTCCACTCCAAAGCCACCCTCTATCGCGTAATCCATCACTTTCCAATCTACTTTTTATCCAACGTCCTGATGTTATTTCACTTGAATTTCCTATAACTTTAGATCCAGCTGATTGTTTTCTGATTCGTTGCTAAATTTTCCTTGCATAGTGTTTCCTTGATGTCTGTCGTATCTTCAGTGTTACAGAAAGACAGCTGCAAAAGGACCTCGTTTACTTATTATGTAAGAATCAGT